CAATTATTAGGTGTACAAAAAGTTACTGAGCTTTAGATTTCATACAACCGAAATAACAATTTAAATTTTATATATCTTCCCGCCCTTTTGCGGTTTTAAAGCGTTGACATTTAGCCTTCTAAAATGCTATACGGTTTGGCGTTTGATGCACATAACCTCAAAAATCAGTAGTGTTCACGATGGCAATAACAAAAGAGCATATTGAATTTCCACTTCGCGTTTCATCTAAACAAAAATGCTGCTGAAGCCACTGCAATGATTTGTGCTGCATATGGAAAGAAACGCTATAAGTCATACTACATGTAAAAGATGATATCAAAAATTTCACCAAGCAGATTTCAGTCTTGAAGATGAACCGCGTGCTGGATGCCCTCAAAAGATTGAAACGGACGAATTGCAAGCACTGCTGGATATAAATTCTGCGCAAACTGAAAAGGAGCTTGCAAAAGCTTGGCGTTACGCAGCAAACTATTTCCATACGTTTACATACGATGGGAAAGGTTCAGAAGGAAGGCAGATGGGTTCTGCATGAATTGTCCGAAGACAACAAAAATCGTCGGCGTGACACTCACTTTGCTTTCAAAGTTCCGGAAAAAAGATTTTCTGCACAAAATCATTACAGGCGATGAAAAGTGGATTCTTTATGATAACTCTAAATGTAGAAAATCATGGGTTAATCCTGGTCAACCTTCGACATCGACGCCAAAGCCCAATATCCAAGAAGGTTTTGCTCTGTATCTGGTGGGATTGGAAAGATGTGTTGTATTACGAGTTGTTACAACCGATGAAACAATCATGGCAGACTGCTACCAACAACAATTGACCAATTTGAGCGATGCATTAGAAGAAAAGAAGCCATTTACTGGTCAAGGACATCATAAGATCACTTTATCTTGCTTCATGACAATGCTCGATCACATGTTGTGAAAGCGACTCAGGATCATATCTTTGCATTAGGCTGAGAACTTCTCCCGCACGCGGCGTATAGCCCAGACATGGTGCCTTCCGATTACTACCTATTCCGGTCGCTGCAGCATCATTTGGCTGATACACATTTCGTGAGATTTGAAGAGATACGAAAATGCATTGATGACTTTATCGCTTCGAAGCCGGTGAGCTTCTATCGTCAAGGAATTCGCAAGCTATCCGAAAGATGGCAAAAGGTCGTTGCAAACGAGGAATATTTCGCTGATAAATATTTTTTTGTTTGTTTTTGAATAAAGATTGAATTTTACAAAAAAAGCTCAGAACTTTTTTGTACACCTAATAATAATAATTAAAATCATTTATCTGAACATCTTGATCATTATAAAGTATTTCGTAACTCGATAAAATTAAATTTATTTTAACAATTTATTTTATTAGGTAAACAATTTCTTCTCTTTAAGAAACATACATACAGTTATATTATACAGTTACATCAGTGATTTAAAGTACTTGTATATATAAAGTACTTGTATAACATATATATTTATAACAATATATTTTTTTTAACAAAAGTATTATTAGGTTCTTACACTTGTTAATTACTAAAATATTTTTCTATTTTTCTATGTTTTTAAATATCTTCTCTTATAATCATATATTTAAATAACTCAATACTTGGTTTGTTAGTAATTTTTTATTAAATGTTAATGATCTCAATAACTGCTATTTTAGAAGGGTGCAAAAGTTATATTTTCCACCGATGATCACTTCGGCGTGGCAGAAAATATGCTTAAGGTAATTTATGTGTGTGTATATGTCTTAATTGACTCAGATAGTAATTATATAAACTTATGAGATAATTTATTATAAGTTATTTAAACAATAAACAACGAAGCTCACCATTTTTCCATTATTGTAAGAATTATAAAATATTTAGTAAATAAAATCTTAAACTTAGGAAAAATTAACTTGTATAAAAAGTGCAAAATATATATAAAAATAGTAAAATCATATCTAGTTGAAATTGGACAAACCAGAAGATTCTGATTACATCAATCAGAATTTCGTTTATCTTAACTAAAATTTTAATAGATTTAAATAGATATTTAGCGGATTTAAACAGGAAATTCTAATTTGTCCATTTCCAGAATTCCAATTACCAAACATTTTTCTTAATGTGTAAGTTGTTGTATATGTAATTTATAATAACAAATATCATTGATTTTCATTTCAAAGAGACGAACCTATATTGAATTTTTTACGTATGAAATCTGGTTTATCTGATGGAAAGATGATAGATGGAAAACCCATTTATAAGTTCAAAAAAAATAATTATGTGATTATCGATTTGAAACAACTACTTAGATCTTTATTTTTAAAAATATCAATTTATAATATTGCATGATATATTAATTATTAAATTGTCATGCAGACGAACTTATCATTGTTCAAGATCGGAAATATAGGTCTGATAAAAATGTTACTCCAAAAGAATATGAATTTATTGAAAAGTACGATTTGCAGGTACGTATGTAAAAAATACAATATTACGTATCATATCATTTTGCACCATGAAACATTAATACTTTTTTGGCAAATTCAACTTTTAATATAAAATAGTTTATAAATTGATCTATATTTTTTAACAAAATATATACAAAATAGTCGTATATTCTACTTTAAGTCCTAATTGAATATATGGCAGTTTCAATATATTATTAACCCATTTCGGGTTGAGTTCAAACACAGTCAAAAATTCTAATTTCAAAAATATCTTTTATCTTTTTTTTTATCTTAATTATCCTATATATGTGAAACAATTGATAACTGTTAAATTTCAGTCCTGGCCATTTTATCTTAGATACTCAGTTGTCAAATTCGTATTTGGATATATAGGATATAGATAGGATAGATAGGATTATATAGGATAATTAAGATAAAAAAAAACAACTCGGTCATTCAATTCTATATCATAATATTCTTTACTCGTGTAAAGAATATTAGAATTTTATATCATAATATTCTTTACTCGTGTAAAGAATATTATGATATAGAATTGAACGACCGAATTGTTACTCACGTGCGGCTTAATCTCTATCCAGTGAGTGATATCGCTCTATATATATATATATATATATATATATATATGGTTTTACCGTTTATCCAGTCAAAACTAATACCAAATCAGTAGTTTGACCTCCATGATACGTTTTGTGTAAATTATACTTAACTGCTTCTCCGGGAATTCTAATTTTTTGCTCTTATTTACAAATCCCATTAGTGACCGATGGATGGACTTATAGATCCTGGGCTAATCATAAAACAAAAATACGTGAAATATGTTGTTCTAATTAAAATTTGCAACTAATAGTTTCAAAATTATCTTCCTGTGTATAATATGCATTAATTTTAACATTTTTATATGAATAGAAAAAATAATTTCTTCTATCATGTTCTTTTGGAACATTTTTTGTTTTTTGTGTTTATAATGTGGACACTAAAAATCATAAAATAATTTGTTATTAATTAATTTAGGTTGAAGATGCTTTTCATCTCTAATATGCAGACTTTCGTTTGACATACACTGCCAACTACATCTCTTATAATAGATACAACACAGATAAAATAATGTCCAAATTTTACTATAGAAGTGCTAAGACAGGCAGAAAGTTCATTCAGTTTATAAAATTGGTGCTCTCTTATATCAGAAACGATGATAATATTATGTCATACCTTTTTTTTACGATTTATTATTCATTTTTACTTAATGTATTGTTTTTTGTCATAAATTACGCTTACACTTTAATTAATAGAAATATTTTTTAGATTTCTGCAAATGTATGAAAACTTTTTATTCCAGACATTGATATAAGCAAAAATTCTAATCAAAAAGATAATGTGTGTTATAATTTGTATAATTTTTCTGCAGATAACAAAGAATACCAAGGAAATTTTTCTTATAAATAGAAATAATGAAAAAGGACGACTTTTATAAGACTAATACTTTCTCCAGGTGGCAGTATAAATAGATTTCGAGTATATAGAACATGCCTATTATCTAAGCTTTAAAACAATATTCCAAAGAACTCTACTATTAAATATTAATTAATAATTAATTAAAAATATTAATAAAATATTAATATTATATATAATAAAATATTAAATATTAATAAATAATTAATTAATATTAATTAATAATATTAAATATTAATAATTTGCTAAAATTATTTCTAATATGAATCAAGATATTAGAATGTCTCGATTATTCTTTGTTTACTACAACTGTAATTATAAAATGAATTAATAAATATCAAGAAGCAATTTTTTTTATATATTTATATATTTATTCCGTTAATTATATTTATTTTTATCAATCGTATTAAAGAATGAAGAAAAAAGCTGATATCCATCAATGATTGTTGTGATGCATGCAAACTGTACAACAATTTTTTTTTCTAATAATATGAAATATTATAAAGAGTTCTTTATATTTTATATCAGTGCTGGAAATAGTACATTTTAAGCCAATATTTTGTTGTACTGACCTTGAGAATCAATCCGTTAAATGCAAATACAAAGAGAACATATTTTTTGCTAAAACATCATTAAAATAGAGGAAAAATAATAAGCATCGATATTGAATTAAAATATGCAATTATTTTCAAACATTGCTTTATACTCATGTTTAAATTTTGCATGATGTAATAATGACATAAGTAAACAATATTGATTACATTATGTTTCATTCGATCAAGCGACTTTAGGTATTATCAATTTAGATATTTTTTTTGTAAATTCATTCAATTTTTGAAAATTTAAAAAAGATTTTTTTATTTAGGTAATATATTTAATTTTCTTCTACTTCATTATTTATATAATAAATGTATGTTAAGCTGTATATTACAATATATAATATATACAATATATAATAAATATATAATACAAAATTTAAAACTATTGCACTTTTAATTAATTAAGAATCTTATTATTATAGTAAATAAATTTTGGTAACAGAAAATTTTTATTATAAAAAAATTTTATATAAGCATTAAAATATTTTTTATAATATAATATAAAAATATCTAATCAGTATAATGTATGTATTTATGTATTACACTGTATTATGAATTATATATTTTTTTTCTTCTTTTTTCTACATAAAAAAACTTCTTTAAAATATTTTTATATTAAATTATAACATGAAATATGATATACATATTTGTAAAAGTTAGTCAGATTTGTCTTTAGCGAGTTGATCCTCTGTTGAAAGATAAAATCTCTGTTATCTATTATCTCTAAAAAATTATTTTTATTACTTATTCCTTATCGTATGTTTCATCGCATGTATTTTCGATCTAATCTTATTAGATCAAAAACTTTTTGTCAATCTTGATCTACAGAGAATTCAATCGATCGAAACAAAACGAGGTTTTATGAAGTTGAAACTAATATAAACATTATTATAATAGATCCAGAAACTGTTTATCATTTTTCAAATTGTTAGCAAAGTTATCTTAATATTTATAATATTATGAAGTTGATCATTAAGATGTTTTTCAAAGAGAACAAAAATAATGTGCAAATGCATTCAATACCATTGGACACCATTGAGAATAATTCTATCATACGACTGACAAGAAGCTAAAGATTATTAGAAATATAATGCTTTTGGAAATTACCTCCTTTTAAAATATATTTAATTATAGCTTATAATTTATATATCACTAATCTAAATACTATGTATAGAATATATTTAAGAGCTATCTGAAAAATTACTTTTCTTATTATAAAATATTTATTCTCAATCATCGATAATCTTGGTTTTATCAAGATTATAAAAATTAAAACTGACGCTACATTTTTCCATTATGTCATGGTTTATATGTTTTAGAAACATTACCCGAATGTCCCATATATCGTTTCATTCTTGTCGTTCACCGAGTGTTAAGCAAGGATAAAATGATATATAGAGACACTCGGATGATGTTTCTGAATGTAGCCAAAATATATTCCAAGGATAAAATGATATATAGAGACACTCGGATGATGTTTCTGAAAGCCAAAATATATTCCATTAACCACCATCACTGACTAGAAGAGTGGGGGAATTTTTCTAGAAGAGACTACTTCCATACTTCTACGTCTATCTAAAGGGTCGCGAAAGAAAACAGAAAGCGTTCTATTACCAAACAGCTCGAGTCTACCATTTTACGACCAACTCTGAAACGCCACGTGTTTTATTTAATGTAAGTTCTTCTATATTGAGTATATTTATTTCTTTATATATTTATGTCATTAATTAAAATATATTTTATCATAATTAGAGATATCTGATGTGAGAAATTGTTTGCTAAGGTTATAAAAATTTTTACTCATTTTATTCTACTTTATAAATTTTATATTAGTTTGAAGTATATGTTCGTGAAAAACAATAAAAATATTTTATATTATAAATCATTAAGAATCAAATTATTTTATTTTCGGATAAATTTTAGTGTATCGGATATCTAGTGTAAAATTGTACGTAAGAAAAAAAGAATGCAGAAAAGTAAGTAAGTAAGTAAAGATTTATCAAAATTCCAATTCTAAATGTAATAGTGCTTTACGTATAATTAAAAAAATTCTCAAATTATATCATACATATGCTATAGAATTTAGATAAATAAAATGCCAGGCACGAAACTCTTCTTGTTTTTATAATTATTTATTTAATTTATATTTATAATATTATATATATATTTATAAAATTTTTTTATTATATATATATTTATAAAATTTTTTTAGTTTATAATCTAAGAAATATAAACTTTTTTATATTTGACACAAAAAAAACAGATTAAAAGACTTATTATTATAAACATACTACTGCTAACTAACATATTGTTCAACTTTTTACGAATGACAAAAGTAAAATAAATCAATAATAGCCGACAAATATAATAAGCCGAGAATATATTCAAAGAACAAAATATTACAATGAAATTACTTGATAAACAGGATAATAATAATAATAATAATTTTAATAATTTTCTAATAATTTTTTCCTTTGTGTGTGTGTGTGTGTGTGTGTGTGTGTGTGTGTGTGTGTGTGTGTGTGTGTGTGTGTGTGTGTGTGTGTGT